GGGGTACACTTTTGGTGTACCCCTAGCATTTTTCTTGATAGAACGATAGACAAAGAAGCAGGTGTTAGTGGTGCGTAATGTGGTGGTTGGAGCCTCGAGGTGGGGACAATGGTTGATATTCCATTTGGTTATTTATGGTAAATATGGATATTTTGGTCACACATTCCTACTACTTCCGTCCCAAAAAGAATTTTCTACTTTAACTAACGTGCAAAATCTCGTGGATTTTAAAATGATTTTGTTTGCAAATTGGCAAGGAAATAACACATAAAAAATTATATTTAAAAACTACATAAAAAATTTAACAAAATAAGGTGTCAAGAATATTTTATTTTATCAAATGATCAATGAAAACACGCAAACAAATAAGAGTTATCGAGAGGCCGTAATAGTAAACAGGAAAGACTTTTTGGGACGGAGAGAGCATTTTTTTATAGAGCGTGCTGCTATATCCTTTCTCATTTTAAGAAAGCTTATTTTTCTCGTCTAATCTGATTGTATCTGATTTAATATTATTAAGATCTCATCTGATTGTTGTTGTATTTAAAGTTATTTTTGGTCTGGTTTAGTTTGATCTGGATCCAATAAAAACAAGTAACAAGTACAGTAATTAATAAGAGTAAGTTGAAGATAACAAGCTCTAAATATATTCAAGTCATAATAATTTGTCAAATCACACTACCTTTCAGGAAGTATTCTGTATTAGGCTATGTGGTATGCGGAGGGGGTGACGAGTGATGATTGAATATAAATGATTGAGTAAATATCATAAAGGTCCTCAGTTATAGTCCGTTTTACATATTTAGTCCATACATATTAAATATCAATTATTTAGTCCCCAATTATGATATTATTTTTCACAAATGATACTTTGTTAAGATTTACGTTAAAAACATGGATAAAATTATAAATTCACGCTCTTTTCTCTACTAAATTGAGCTTCCTCCCTCCTCTCACACTTCTTTCTCAAAACCGTCACTGAGTTTAAAGCTCTAAATCCAAAACCGAAATGATCACTCCTCTCTCAATCCTTCATCTTTCTTATGGAACCCAAAATCGAAACCAATAACTTTCGTGGATAAGTTTATGGTTTAGTCTCAGGAAATTGCAAAGAAAACAAACCTTAAAACTCATCCGTGAAGGTTACTAGTTTCGATTTTGGATTTCACCAAGAAGACGAACAATTGAGAAAGGAGTGATGATTTCAGTTTTGGGTTCAAGGTTCAACAACGAGTTTGGGAAAGGAGTGCGAGAGGAGGGAGGAAACTTAATTGAGGAGAGAGAGGGGCGTGAATTTACAATTTTATCTATGTTTTTAACGGAAAAGTTAACAAAGGATCATTCGTGGAAAACAATATAATAACTGGGGATTCAATTATTAATATTTGATATGTAGGGACAAAATGTGTAAAATGAACCATAACTGGGGACCTTTATGTAATTTTACTCTAAATGATATGATGTACAGTGATAAAAAAATACTACCTCCGTCCCGTGAAACATGGGACATTTGCTTTTTAGGAGGGATTTAAGAGAGTGTATTTTGGTATTGAATTTCCAAAAATGTCCTTTGATGTGATGGGTAAAAGTATGATTTGATGGATAGATTATTAGTAAAAAGGTATGATGTGATAGTTAGGATATGAAAAAGTAAGGGGTAAAAGTGACTTTTTAATAGAAATGAGAAGTGTTTTGTGGGAATGATAAAAAAAGAAAGGGGAAATGTTTCACGGGACAGAGGTAGTATGTGGCATGGTCGGGGTGATTGGGAGTGATGAGTGTGGAGATTTGTAAAATTTTGATTAATTAGAATTTAAAAAGAAAAAAATAGAAAAGAAAACCCTCCCCCGTCCCGGTCGTGCCCCACCGGCGTGGTCACCCCACCACGTAGGCGGTCACGCCTCTCCCGCACATCTTTTTTCTATTGCAATGCAATGGTTCATTGGTCCCTAATGAGTTTTGGGTGGCAGGACTACAATGTTCAATTGTTGATGTACCGCACACCACTCCTGGTTGACATGGTCAAGACCAAGACAGGCCACACCGTTCTTGTGTTGGACTCCATGACCAATGGCAGTAGAGCATGGAGAAGAATGGACGTCTTGATTTTCAACTCATGGCATTGGTGGACTCACACCAAATCCTCCCAACCGTAGGAATAATAATAACTGAACCCACTTCTAATCCAATTCAATTCGACCCTCTTCTTATATGCAATATAAAATGTATTTATTTGTTTACTTGATTCTATATATGATGCATTGCAGGTGGGATTACATGCAGCTAAGAGGAAAGTTGTACAAAGACATGAACCGTGTGGTTGCGTTCTACCACGGGATGACGACCTGGGCTAGATGGGTCAATCGCCACGTCCGTGGTCCATCCAAACCCAAGGTCTTCTTCCAAGGGATTTCCCCTTCACACTATGAGTAAGCTAAGCACGCCTAAAAACACTTTTCCTTTCTCCATCACCTTATTATTAGAATTCAAAACTTTTCCTAGCTGATCTATTGGTTGCTGTAAATAGTGGGAGTGAATGGGGTAAGCCATCAAAGTCGTGCGAAGGGGAGGTCGAACCGACTCTTTACAACGAGCGGACTTACCTATCGGACATCTCATCGGAGGCCTTGATGGTGATGCAAAGAGTATTCAAGAGGCTAAAGAAGCCAGTTTATCTCCTCGACATCACCGATCTATCGCAAGACAGAAAGGACGCTCATCCAACCACTTATAGCGACCATGGCACCATGGATTGCAGCCATTGGTGCCTCCCTGGCTTGCCAGATACTTGGAACCTTCTACTTTACAATGCCCTCCTTTGATCATTAATTAATTTCACTACGGCATCTCGGGAGCCGCTAATTATTACTATATCATACTCACTCCGTTTGAAGAAACCACTTCACCTTCGTCTTTTGCGCATCCCACAAATAATTTTCTCCACCTAAAATATTTAAAATACATCTTATTTCTTTTTTATTACAGTCAGAAATTATTTTGGGAATATTTTAGACATTTTAGATAGAGTATAAGTGTCTTTTGGGATGCACAAAAAATGGATATGAAACTATTTTTTTCAAACAAAGGTGATTATATAATATGATGATAGAGAACTCATCTACACCCATTTGTTAGTGTAGGTATTTGTTTTCCTGGTGAATAACAGGGATGCTCCGAGATCACCCTACTCCTGTATAGTGATTGTTGTTGCTTCCCACTATATATTGGTCTCGGGTTTCATTGGTTTTAAGTACATTACTATAAAACATTTTTATGAGTGTAATTTTATTCCCCATTAATTTACGATTGTAAGATTGTTTTCCACGAGGTTGTTGTAGTGACAAGATTTTTTATTTATGTGTTTGAATAGTCTTGGTAGCAAAATCACGTCTTTATTAACAAAATCGCGCATGCTATATGGTTAGTGGTACCCCATTTCATTATGATCCAAATTCCAAAAATCATGTGTAGCTTTAAATTCTAGCTTCGTTTGGAGAGAAGTTGTTAGAGATTGGGAATAACAACACAAGCATTTCAAGAAGCATATCAAATTTGCACCAAATAGAACTAAAACATAGGTCATTTCTTAATAGTTTTTAAGAAATGTCTAGTGGGAGGAATAATGTCCAGATGATAGACATTTACTTGAATAATGAATAATGACCAATGGTCTTACATTGGAATATAAAAACATATGATCCTATATTAAAAAAGTTATTATATTTTAGTCCTATTTAGATAAATTTCTCAGATTTCTTCCTAGAGCACTATTCGAACTTCACGGAAACTTTTATTTATTTACAATTTTCATAGATAAAATATTCTTGTCACCATTTGTTTTATTGAACTTTTGGTGTAGGTTTTAAATATCTAAATTTTATTTCTTATTTCTATATATACACCAATATTTAAATGATATAGATTAGAAAAATTTGAAGTTTTTTTTCGTTTTGTGCAACAGGAACAAAGATATAGGACGGAGGGAGTATTAGTATAGATGCTTCTCATTTCTTGACTCCTCAGCTTGACTCAATGTCATTGATCGCAATAGGATTTTCAACATCTTCAATCACATACACAGTAACAAATTCAGGGTCATCATCAACAAATGGAAAAAATGGGATCACTAATAAATTGTACCCATTCACTTAGGTCATGTTTGGCACACAGAATTCAAACTATGGAATTGGAATTGAGGACTTTAATTTCAATTCTGATGTTTGGTAGCACAAAAATTATGTGGATTTGGAATTGATAGTGCAAAATTTTACGGAATTTGAATCTTATGGAATTTCAATTCCAATTCAACCTTCTATTTGGTTTTCTATTTTGGATAAAAATCGAACCAAAAAAATAAAATCCGGCCTTACATATTGTTATTGTTTCAGACTTTCATCAAGTTAGTATTGCTACAGGTTTTTTAATGTTTATAAATTTTTATTTTTAAAAATAAAATAAAAAAAATAAAAACCATATAAACCGAATTAAACAAAAACCTAAGTGACCGAACCCATCCCTAGCTCAAACCATTCTTTTAGGCTCTGTTTGGTATACGAAATTCAAGTTGTGGAATTGCAATTGAAGACTTCAATTCCAATTCTAGTGTTTGGTAGCATAAAAATAAATGAATTTAAAAATAGTAATGCAAAAAATGAATTGGAATTAAAGAATTCAATTCTATTTCAATTCCACTTCTGTAAATTTCGTATACCAAAGGGAGTTAAAGTTTTTGGTGCCACCTATTGCACAATACATTTTTCGGGCAACATCCACACCGTTTTTTTGCTTACTCATACCATGCACTTCTCTCACCGCACCACACGTTGCATTTCCAAGCCCAATTTCTATATCCACATGTCCCTCCCTCATTTAAGCAACCGCCATTCTCAACCCAATTTATACCCCCTTCCGTTTTGTTCCCTTCCCCACATTATCTATCTATCACCCCCACCATTTCATACAATATATATATACACAGAAGAAGAAGAAGAAAACTAAGTCCTTGCTTAATTTATTCTTATTATGGCTTCAAAGCAACAGATTAGAAGAGAGAACCAGACTGACGAAAGATCATCAGCCCAAGTTGAGAAGGACAGAGTCCCGAAAATGGCCAGCCAATTCGAGGCTATGGCCGAGAAGTCTCCGGAAACCACTGTGACCGCGGCGGAAGGCAAAGGCGGGCGTGAAAGGGGGGAAGCCCGCGACACAAAGAACAGTGGAACCGCAATTGGCGGTGCGCAGCAACATCCGGTTAAAGTTGGCGGCCAGGCGCCGACTCCCGGCCATCAAGTGTTTAAGGAGAAGCCCGGTGGCGTGGAATTTGAGGCGGCTAGCGGTGGAGGACTGGGGAGGAACAACAATGATGACGAAATTTTGGAAGAGATAGGGAAGGCCCGGCAAGAGGCTCAGCAGAACTCCATAAATTCCCTTCGGGCGGCTCAGGAGAAGTACGAGACCGCCAAGGAAAGGGCAAGCCATGCTCTGGGCACCGCCGGAGAAAAGGCGAAAGGCACAACCAAGGAAGGGTCTCGATACGTCCTCGACAAGGCCAACGCCGCGAAGGACACTGCCCTTCAGAAGGGTCAACAAGCCTATGAGATGACCAAAGACACTCTCTCCGGTGCTGGCAAAACAACCAAGGACTACACCGCCCCCAAGACGGACCAGGCGAAGGACGCTCTCACGAAGGCCGGTGAGGTCGCGAAGGAGTACACCCTATCCGCAAAAGACCGCGGAGCCGAACTGAGCAAGAGCGCCGCGAGCTACGCGGGGCAGAAGGCGGTGGAGGCGAAGGACGCCACGGTGGAAGGCGGGAAAGTGGCGGCACAGTATGCCGGGAAGGTGGCGGAGACGGTGAAGGATAAGGCGACCGTTGCCGGTTGGGAGGCTGCTCGTTTCACGGCCGAAAAGGCTGCCGGCGCCACTAACGTTGCCGCTGGAGTGGCGGCAACCGCGGCAGGGTATGCCGGAAAAACGGCTATTGCCGCCAAGGACGTGGTGGCCGGGGCCGGAAACAGTGCGGCGGGTTACGCTGGCGACAAGCTGGCTGCTGCGAAGGATTATGTGGTGTCCGCTGAAGAAAGCGCAGCAGAGTATGCCGCTAGAAAAAAAGCTGAAGCTCAGAGAGAAGCACAAGCTAAGAAACCTGCAGACTCCAAGGTATATGTACAATAATTAATAATTGTTGACTTAGTTTTTGGATTGAATTATGGGTAAATAAATTACTATCTCCGTCCCAATTTATAACGCATGTTTCGGTTTATGATGTTTGACTGAAATTATTTTCAAACAATTTTATATGACAAATGGTATAGAATTAAAAAATAAAAATTACATATTAAAAAACTAAATCAAAAGATCTATAAAACTAGTAGTAACAATAATATTTTATTTTATCAAATTGCTAACGAAAATAGAGAAAGAAAGTGAATGAAGTTTGACCCTGTGAAAGAAAGTGAATGAAGTTTGACCCTGTGAACAGTAAACATGCATTAAAATTTGGAACGGAGGGAGTAATATACAGTACTAAAGGAAAATATATGTAAATAGCACTAAAACATAATGAATTTCCTTAAATAGCATCACATGTGTTTTTTCTCAATGTAACATTTTTACTCATTATCCATTAGTCATTATTCGTAATCCATTAGTCATTATTCAAGTAAATGTTCAACATCACTAGACATTATGATCAAAGTTTTATTTAGTGCAAATATTTCTTTCCTAAATAACATCACATGTGTTTTTTCTCTAATTGTAGCAATTTTAGTCATTATCCATAGTCATTATTCAAGTAAATGTTCGTTATCACTGAACATTGTTATCACTGAACATTATAGATATTATTAAGTGTTAGTTTTAGCGATATTTAGTTCAAACATTTCTTGAATTATTGGATCCAAGTTATATGGTTAAAATTACTTGATTAATTCTTTTCTTGTTTATTGAAACTAAGGGAGAAGGCGGAGGGGGGAGCATATTCGGCAGGAAGCAAGAAGCTGCAAGTGGAGGAGAAGGGGGGAAGACAAGGGAAATGGCGGTGGGGGCACCCAAGGTGGTGGTGTCAGAGGGAGGCGGCGAGGAGAGCGGGGGGATTCTCCAAGCCATTGGGGAGACTATAGTTGAAATTGGCCAGACTACTAAAGGCCTTGTCATCGGCAGTCCTAATGATGACGATGATTTGCGGCAGAGCTATGATGATGACACCGCGGGTGCCACCGGAAGGAGTGAAGAGATGAGAGGCCGTGTTCGTGAGGGGAAGAAGTAGGTAGCCAGCAGTAGGTGTTTTGCAATGGAAACTGTGGTTTGAGCAAATAAGTGGTGAATGTTGTGATCATATATGTGTGTGCAAGTATATTAGTGAGGGTGTTTATATATTATCTTGTGCAATAATACTAAAAACAAAACACTATTCAGTGATTCGCTATGTTATGAAACTGATCTTGAAGTACTAATTTAAGAACAGAGACAAAGAGTCTTGCTAAAAACCATGCATGTTGCCTTCACCTCATTTTATACCTAAATAGGACTAAAACATAATGACTTTTCCAATATATGATCATATGTTTTTATTTCCCAATGTAGGACCTTTGGTCATTATCAAGTAGTCATTATTCAACTTAATGTCCATCATTACTGGACATTATTCCTCCACTAAGTCATTATTAAGTCCTATTTAGGGAATAAAAAAGTTTAAGTCCTAAATTAGGAAAGTCATTATGTTTTAGTCCTATTTAGTGCAAATTTCACATCTTTTAATTGAAATGAGTTCTTATGCATGATTATAAATTACCTTTAGAAAAAAGTATTAAAATAGGACTTTCATATTTTCTTCCGAAATAGGACTTTGCACTGCGGTAATGTAAATTTGCCATGTTGTAATGTGGCAGTGTACATGTATAAATTAATATACTCCCTCCGTTCCTTTAAACCATTCTACTTTTGACTTTTGGCAAAAATAAGGAAAGTGTAATTTTGGTTGACTTTCCAATTTTGCCCCTGATGTGATGGGTAAAAGTAAGATGTGATAGTTTGGTTATTAAAGAAAAAGTATGATGTGATAGGTAGGGTATGAAAAAGTAAGGGTAAAAGTGGTTTTTTAATAGAAAGTGGAAGTGTTTTAGGGAATTCAAAAAAAACGAAAGGGAAAGAGTTTTGTGGAACGGAGGGAGTACTTTTTTGGTAATGTTTATGACCATGTATGGTAATGTAAGTCCTGTTTCGGGAATAAAAAAACATGGAAGTACTATTTTGACATATTTTCAATGTTTTAGTCCTACTTTAGTCTTTCTCCCTTATATGATCTAATCTCTTTTTATATTCAAAGTTCTTTTTACTGATATTTCAATAAAAATAAATAATACGGGGTAATCTATAAGTAATAAGAATAAATTAAGAGATGCAAATGAAAATACTCCCTCCGTCTTTTAAAGATTATCATAGTTTTACTTTTTATCAAACTGTGATAAAATAATATTTTAAAATAAATTTAAGTTCACTAAATTTACATTTTAACTAAATATATTTTTCTATTATTAGCACTAAGTTTACATTATAACTAAATATATTTTTTTCTATTCTTCGCGGTCAAAGAATGACATAATTGATTGAAAAAGTCAAACTGTATTCAATCTTTTAAAAACGAAGGAAGTATGAGTTATTGAAATCGGATTTTAGGAAAGATATATTTTCTTATAATTCGAAAGATAATTTATCAAGGTAGTATTTCACACTTTCACTAGATGACAAAAATCTTGTAAGAAATGTTTGTGTTGAAGACTCGTCGTTTGATCCAAAGCAAATTAAAAATTTATAAATATTTTAGCTAACCCCCAAGATATAATAAAATAAAAATTATAACTAGGGCAAGTAACACTACTACAAGAAGCCTCTTCCCAGAAGTGGCACCAATTCTGAATTCTGGGAAGAGATTTTTACATCGGTTATTACCAAATAACCGATTTAAATGATTAAATTTTTCAATAGGTTTTTTTGTTTGCTCACAATCCACTACTTTTTCAATTTTGCACAGAATTCTGCGCAAAATTACAGATTCAACAACAACCAACACAAATATATTCACAAAACCCAAATGCCACAAAACAAATAAACCAAAGAAGTAAACACTTGCATCCATCACTTGTACATCTTAAAAAATATCAATATTTACAAACTAAATTTTAACACCACAACTAAGAGTCAAACAACTACACTCTTCTAACTTACAACTAGTACTATACAATACAATACAAAAGTTACACTAATTCATCAAGAAAACCCCACGCCCAAAACTCTCTAATCTCTTCTAACTCGGCTACGCTATAGGGCGAAGTAGACTGAAACACCTGCAAGTAGACATATGATAAGAACTTATACAACTTATAATTGGATAAATATAACAACTTAAATATAACTTTTATAAACAAAGAACTTATAATATAAATTATAAAACACATAACAAATACTTAAAATATACTAAAACAATAAAGTACAAAAAACTTATATTTATAACTTATAAAGAAAGACTTATATATATACTTGAGTAAATAAAAACTTATACTATAATATAAAACACGAAGGGGAAGGATTGAACAAAAATAAATATTCTTTTTTGTTTTCTATATTTTCTTATTTTTTGATGTTTTTTTGATAATATGGGGGAAAAAGCTCAAAAGATAATCAATTTTTCCAACTTAAGAAAACCATGAAACACCACCAAAAATCTAAAACAAAAGAAAAAAAGAGAACAAACACAAGTCAAACATTACACGTAGGATAAGCACGTAAATGATATACTACTTCTGTCTCTGAGTATTTGTCCAGCTGTGACTTTTTTCGATCAACTGTTTTCAACCTTTGACCTATAATTAAATAAAATATATATTGTATTTTAATTAAATAAAATAATATTTTGAAATTATTTGATATAATAAATCTAATAACTTTTTTTGTATCAATATCAAATATCATTTTTATTTAATTTGAGATCAAAGTTTACCCATTTTGACCAAAAAAAGTCAAAAGTGGACAAATACTCAGGGACGGAGGGATAAATTTCATGTATGGTACACCAACTTTGAAGTTTATTTCACTTCGGTGCACCAACTTTATTTTCTTTCAGAAAAGTACTCCAACTTAACACTTTCTTTCACCCATGGTATTTTAGCCGATTTCTAGGTTAATACCCGGTTACCTATCCTATGTGTATCCCTACTTGGCGCACCCATTTAAATCACTCACTTTTTCTCTCTCCTCTCTCCTCTGACGCAGCATCATCCTTGTTGAAATGTTCGAGGCTATTCACTGGGCTTACAGATGAAGAAATAACGGGAAGAAGGGAAAGGGAAAGGTCATTTTTTTTCTCATTTGTCGAGACGGTGGCTAGGTTTTTCAGTTTCGCAACAGAGGGAGGTGTGTTTGAGGTCTTTTGCTCTCTCAATTTCGATTTCATTCAAAACGAAGAGGACGCCCTTGCTGTTCTGTGTGGCACTCGCGAAGAAGAAAGGAAGCTCCACTCATGTCAGGTTAGTGCATGTCTTATTCTAAAGGGGTTTAGTTGCTCATCATCATCCATGGGTAGGATTTTATGTTACAATGTGCAGTTTTATGAAATTATTGGGGATTTCATTTTGGGTTTTTTTTGTATTCCATAAATTCAGAGAGTTCAGAGACTTCTGAGACTTCTGAGAGTTCACAACACATGTTGGTTTATGATATTATTGTGCACCATGATGGGGTTTTAGGGGAATTTGGATACTACGATGAAAAGAAATTTTTGTTGACTGTGGATGTTGATAGAATGTGTATGAAGTATCTTGATAAATTGTTGGCAAAAAATGGAAATAATGGACTGGTTAGTTATTATTGGAGGGATCATAGAACCCCTTATCACAACGGTTTGAAACCCCTTCAATTTGCAGATGATACATGGGAAATGTCAAGGTGTGGGTGTGAGTATGGTTCTGTTCATCTGTATGTTGAGAGTGTAGGTGAAGGTGAAATCTTAAAGATAGTGAATGAACTTAGTACCCCTACCAAACCAAAACCTGGTGTTGTTATCAAGGACCTTGATGATGAAAGTCCACCTGTTACCCATCCATTGAAACCTTAAAAAGGGAAGGTGGTAGTTCATTGAGAAGAGTGTTGGTCATTTGCCAGGCAGAATCTGAGGGGATATTACATGAGGAAGACAAAGGTGAACCATCATCAGTGATTGGGGATGAACCATCACCTGTTGATTTACAACAAGAGAACAAGAGTGAACCAACAGTGGTTGAAGAGAACAAGAGTGATCCACAAGAGGACAAGAGTGAACCATCAATACTTGAAGAGGACAAGAGTGAACCACCAGTGGTTGAAGATGAAAGAGTGAATGAAAATTGGGGCTTTGCTTCTGATAATGGGTGGCAGAGTGTGTCAATGAATATAAATATGAATGATATGACAAACTTGTCTTTAAATGAGAACTGGGACTTTGTTTATGATGACTGGACTATGGCTCCTGAAACTGTCAACAACACCAATGGAGATGGCCAAATGGGTGGCCAGCCAGGTGAAACAGGGGATGGGGGTGAAGATGATGTTGAGGATGGTGATGATGAAGGGGGTTCTGAGAATGAAGATGTTGTTGATGAAGGAGGTTCCAAGATAAAAGGTCAACATGTAGGAGCTGAAGGTGAACATGTAGATAATAATTTATATGATGATGACTACATGGTGGAGATTGGTGATGAGGATTATACTGAGAATCCAGAAGAGTTCAATCTGTTTAGAGAAGGGCATAAAAGTAATGAAAGGCCAAAAAAATCCTGACCAAAGTGGGCATGTAAGAAATTTAGATTTTATGGTTGGGAGTGATTCATCATACTATGGTGATTCAGAAGAACTACACACAGAATCTGACAATGAAAATGGAGGTGGGGAGAGATATCCTTCATTTGATGCAAAATTGGACATGGGTAAAGACAAATTCAAGGTGAGAATGATGTTTAAGAATGTGGATGAGTTTAAAATGGCAGTGAGGGAATTTGGAGTTAGGTATAGATGGTAGATCATATTACCAACAAACTGCAGAACTAAAGTTTTGGCAAAGTGTTCTAATGGATGTGGGTTTATAAATTTCACCCCAAGGACCCACATGACCCTACTTTTCAGATTAAGAGTGGCTGTTTTGAGCACAAGTGCAAGAAAGTTCATGAGAATTATCATTGCACTGCTGAGTGGATAGCTAACAAGTACTTGGAGGACTTTAGAGTTAACCCAAATTGGGAATTGAAACACCTAATTGCAAGAGTGGCTGCTGACTTTCATTACAACATCAACTACCTTAAGTCTTGGAGAGCAAATAGTAAAGCTCTATAATTAATTCATGGGGATGAAAGCAGTCACTTCCAAAAGTTGTCTGACTATAGGCTGGAAATTTTGAGAACCAATACTGGGTCAACAATAATGTTTAAGAGGGACATGGGTGTTTTTGAGGGAATTTACATCTTCTTGGAGCCTTTGAAGAGGGGGTTTAAAGCACATTGCAGGCCACTTGTGTGCTTAGATGGATATTTTCTTAAGGGCACTTATGGTGGACAGTTGTTGGCTGCAGTTGGCATTGATCCTAATGATTGCATTTTCCCCATTGCCTATGCAGTGTATAAGATAGAGAATACTGAGACATGGGAGTGGTTTTTGAGGCTCCTTGCTGCTGACTTGGACGTCGTGAAACTATTTTCTGCTTCATGAGTGACAAACAGAAGGTATGAAGTCCTTTACTATCTTCTTTATGTACTTTGCTGTATACCTTTATAACCATGGTGCACTCTGTTTTTGCAGGGACTTGTTATAGTCATTCATAGACTATTTCCCAAAGCTGAGCATAGAATGTGTGTGAGGTACTTTTACACCAATTTCAGGAATCAGTTTAGAGGTACGAAGTTAAAGGACTTGCTTTGGGATTGTGCTAGAGCCTCTTACCCAGCCAAGCTTGCATCTTGTCTAAGCAAGCTTGAAGAAAGGTGTCCCGAGGCTAGACAGTGGCTTAAGAAAAGACCAACAAAGAATTGATCCAGGGCAGAGTTTAAAACATTTGTCAAATGTGATATGTTAACAAACAATCTCTGTGAGTCTTTTAACAAGTACATTTTGGATGCTAGAGACAAGTCACTACTGCCAATGCTTGAGATAATAAGGAGTAAGTTAATGAAGCGCTTGTCAACCAAAAAAAAGGCCATGACAAATGTGAAGGACATAATATGTCCCAAAATAAGAGCCAAACTGACCGAGAATTTTGAGCATGCTCATCTATTCATTCCTACATTTTCTAGAGGACCAAAATATCAGGTGGAAGGTCCAGGTGGTATGCAATATGTGGTAGATATGGTTGACTGGACATGCAACTGTAGACGTTGGGAATTAACTGGAATTCCTTGCTCTCATGCAATCTCTTGCATTCTTGATAACAATGAAAGCATAGATGACTATGTTGATAAGCAGTACTTAGTGTCCAACTACATTGATCTCCACAACCACTATATCAACCCTATCAATATGATGGAAATGTGGCTTCATGATGAAACTGAACCTCCAATTCTCCCACCACCACCTCCACCTAAAGAAAAGGGAAAGAAGCAGAAGGCAAGAAGAAAAGAAGCAGAGGAGCTTGAGAAAGGAAAATCCTCAAGCCAAGCACCATCCACCCAAGATGCAGGTTCCTCACAGCACAATGAAGGAGGAAGGTTAAGCAAAAAAGGAAAGGTGCGCATGAAATGCACTGTCTGTGGTGAAATTGGCCACAACAAAAGGTCTCACTCAAGTAAAGGGAATGGAGAATCAACAGACAAGGTAAATAGTCTGCTCAAATATTACTTTTTTATTTATGTGGGTAGATGTTTGACATTGAATGTGGGTTGTGTGTATATGACAGAGAAAGGGTAAAAAGAAAGCAACAACAGCTGGAGACGGAACAAGAAAGAGGAAAGAAGCACCAGTGAAGGGGAAGACAAAAAAGAGAAGCAAATCAGGTCCAACAGAAGAAGATCATCCTGCTCCAATTTAGTATAATTCACAATGTTGCAGTTGTGGTTTTTTGGATTTTGGTAGCTGGACATAGAAGGTGGTCATTTGGGTTTTTGGTAGCCCTATGTTCGTACTTTTTTTTGTAAATGGGCAGTCTTTGTGCCTTTCTTGTTGTCGTTTTTGGTTTTTGTTTGATTGACAGCTAGTAAGGGAAGTCTTTTTGTAAATGGGCAAACTTGTTAGATTCCAATATGTGAAATGAAGCATTTTGTAAAGTCTAATTCATAAGTCTTCTGCGTATATCTTATTTCATTCAAGAAATGTTAGAAAACAAAGTTGGTATACCACACGTGAAATAAACGTAAAAGTTGGTGTATCATACGTGAAATTTGTCAACAAATTTATCCCACAGTTGGTATACCATGCGTGAAATTTATCTCAAAGTTGGTATACCATGTGTGAAATTTATCCCAAAGTTGGTATACCATGCGTGCAAATTACCCCAAAGTTGGTGTACCATACGTGAAATTTACCCTTTAAAATAAAACAGCATGACAGAACTTGCTGCTATTTAAAAAACCACACTGAAACACAAATCAGTCCATGAGGTCTTCCACTCTTGAATTACATTATGAGTCAACAACATTCTACAATCAATCTACTACACAACAACATTTCACTAGGCTGAATAAATCAATGGCCACTACTATAACACTCTTGGCATACACAACCCTTACAACTGCAAAACAATAAGAAAAAAGATATGAACACTACCATGAATAGAGAAATGAAACAGGTGTGACGTCCACATAAACTCTTCTCCTTCGGCTTCTCTTCTCTTATATTCTCATCCTTTCTCAGTAAGCCAAGAATGACATCACGATATCGTGGATGAACTTCCGGATCTCTCCATTCCATGAACTGACAAAATTTGGGAGTCTACCAAAACAAAAAACCCTTTTCAAACAAAATCCCAATCGCAAAGAACATCCGTTTAAAATTTTAGAAATTTCAGTACACTTACCCCATAATTAAGACACCCAACAAACCGCCTTCCAGGATTTGAATCAGTCCATGAGGTCTTCCACACTACAGGTTCACGACATCTGCAGTAGTACACTGATGCGCGACGGAAGGAGCTGTTGCTAGAGACGGTAGACATCAAATTCGAAAAATTTCTCCCAAAATTAGGGTTTCTAATTAGGACAAGAGGATGGAAGAAAGAGGGCTATATATGTAGAAGAAGGGAGTCCCTGGTACACCAACGGTTATTTTTCGCCCTTCTTTAATGGCTAATAGGGATGATGCTGCGTCAGAGGAGAGAGGAGAGAGAAGAAGTGAGTGATTTAAATGGGTGCGCCAAGTAGGCATACACATAGGATAGGTAACCGAGTAATAACCCAGAAACCGGCTAAAATACCATGGGTGAAAGAAAGTGTTAAGTTGGAGTACTTTTTTGAAAGAAAATAAAGTTGGTGTACCGAAGTGAAATAAACTTCAAAGTTGGTGTACCATACATGAAATTAACCGGGACGGAGGGAGTATTATCAAACTTACGCACATAAGAATAGAAAATGATTAAAAGGCTCGAGTTGAATCAAATCTTTGAGCACATATGGTGGATCGTCAACTTTCTATAAGGCTCGGAGTCCATTTTGAAGAACACTTTGAACCCCAACTCTCTTCAAGCGCCCAAACAATGATTCCAAAAGAAGGAAAAAAAATATAAAAAACGATTTTTTTCATTCTAACTCTCATACATAGTTTATCCATAAAGAACATTTTATGTATTTTAATAAATTTGAACATATAATGATAAAAATATTTTGCAGTATTCTAGTCTATTCACATAAGAGAACATTACATATTTTCATTAAATTAAGAATTTGTGGGCTTATACAACCTTAAATTTCTATGAAAATAACAAAGACACGATCACATGAACAATCACTCAATAAAGAATCGTAAGGAAAATGACCAACTTATGGAGCTAACTGTTGGAATGCATGAGTTCAACCCTTTTTGTGTTGTTAAGTGTTGACTCACAGATTTTGATAATTGACAAACACACTTTATTCAAGTCAAGATCAAAGTGCTATAACGACACACACGAAGACTTGAAGTGCCATTCCTTGAAGTATTCAAGAAGGTGCATAGGATTTTATTGAAGTCCGAGACGCGTTCGGAGCGCCTAACGGAGGACTCGGAGGAGTAGAAGATTTCCAAAGACCTTTTTATTTATTTAAGGCTTAGGAATAATTGTAAGGATGAAAAAATATCTTCTCTCCAAAATTTATTTTTATGAGAGTTAAAATAAAAATTATATTTATTTTTGGAGTCAGTTGAAAAATCCTTTTAATTTTTCAAAATACATTTATTGAGTCAGTTTTAAAAGGTGTGTCAAACATTTATCAAAATATTTATTTTGATATTAGAAATCATTTTTGGAAAGCAAAAATATTTTATTCAAATATTTTTCGTGTACATCGTTTGACACACAAAATAATTTTTGGGACTCTATTTTTACACTCCAAATATCTTTCATTTATTCAAAATTAATTTTTGAATAATGTTTGAGGTGATGGGGAGCCTTACCCCTGATATTCTTGTTGGAAACAAACCTATAAACTCCATTTTGTCCTTCACCTCGCTCACATGCTTGTGTTGTTCTTGTTTGGTCATTATTGTTGTAATAATCAATTATTACCTCTAGAATTAATCAATTATCTGGTCCAGAATGAACTAACCAATTAATACCTTTGGCTTTAATCGATTATCACTTTTCCGCGCAGAAGGAATTTTGTTCAGACGAATTTAATCAATTTTTTCAGCTGCATTAATCGATTATGATGATGCACTAATCGATTATGATGATGCATTAATCGATTTTTATGCTGCATTTTTCTTCACAGCTTCTTTTCTTGGACCAACGGATATATTTCTTCAACTCCTATTTAAACACACTTCCTTGGTCATTTTCTCATAACAAGAAACACTCCAATACTCCCCATTCTTGAAGTGTTAATCCTCCATCATTCTTTCCTCAAATTTAAATTATTTTGAGAGAAAATTATTCGTTTTTAAGAGAGGTTTCTTGTCATCCATTAGAGCTAAACATTTTCTCATTCCTACTCTTTTGAGAGCTATTGTTGAGAGGTTGAAGAAGATTGTTCTTCTTGTTGTTCAAGACTTATGTGACTTAAGTCTTGGTGGTGAAGTCTTGTAGAGGGCATATCTACGAGCGGTTGTGTTGAAGCTTGTGGGATTCAAGTTCTCGAGTTGTAAACGGTTTTTAAGCACCCGTAAGCTTAACAGAAGTAGTGGTAGCTTCGAGAGAGTCTCTCGAGGAACTGGACTAGCCACGAGGTGGTGAACTAGTATACATCGGTGTGTTCTTTGCCTTCTCTCTTTTATTTTTGCTGCACTTACGTTTATATTATTAATCCTGCTAAAATCAGTAATCATTCTCAATAACTCTATTCACCCCCCCTCTAGAGTTGCACGCCTTGTCTAACACTAACAAGTCCATAAACTTTAAAATTTTACAAAGACACATCACAACAAAGAAGTTGTAATAATTAATTACTGAGATTGAACAAAAAATAAGTGATTTATAAAGTTTTTCAATTAATTGTGAAAATTCTACCGTTGCATAGAGTTTGACTTTTTGATCTTAACGGTGCAATTGGATTTTAATTCGGAGAAAGTTGGCTGAAAAAGTATATACCCCGATTGGGACCAATATTCATCTGAATCAGGGAGAAGCGTGTAAATCTCCGAGACTGCGCCTCCGACTTCAATACGTGATTCACGGACCACTCAATGGCGCAAAACTATATGAGGGATTCTAACTCTCTTCATTCATCACCAATCCTTCTCATTCTTCTTCCATTCTATTCTTCATGAAGAGAGGAGTGCAGTCATGCTGCCCCTAGAGTGAGAGGTCGCCAGAGCTAGGCATAATCTTTGCTAGAAGTTTTGCCGGAAAATTTTCCAAACCTCTATTTTAGCCAGAGGTAAGCGTTTAGATATATTTAGTGATTAGAATGTTCATATATATCGTTTCTACGTTCATAAATAGTCATATAGTTGAGTTTTGTGTTTGACATAGTTGATGAACCATGAATCGAAGACCTTCAAATTATTGTTAAAACTGCGAATGAATGGTATTAGAATGATCTATGAACTTTGGAGAACATTTCAATATAGTTTAATTGAAGTTTGATGGCTTAAAATGACATTTTTGAAAAGTAATCCGAGGTTATAGACGACAATGTTCAAATTTTGTGCAGATACGGTACGTAGCTATCGCCTATACATACGGAGCTACCGCCCAGGCGTCAGACCCTACCGTTGGGAAGGTAGGTAGGCACCGCCACAGGCCAACCGGCTCTGTCAGAACCTGGTACGAGACGGTACCCGGTACTGTTTGGAACGGTAGTAAGGTACCGTGTGCCGGTACCATGTACCGTAACAGGTACCGTCTGATCTGGAAATTTTTCCAAAACCTGATTTTTGAACTATAAAATCATATTTTTGATGCCATGCAACTATAAATCAGTATGAGTGTATTTCCAAAACTAAATATAATGTTTTAATAAATTCAAGAATCTTATTTAATGCATGACGGTAAGCTAAGTTCTGAACACTTGACGTTATGCCATTATTTGTCAATAAATTTTATGATGATTGTTATTGATTGTTAATTATGATGATTGAACCTTGATTAAAATAATATCCTGTTTTAAAAAATGATCATAAATGATTAAGACTATATCTAGAAGAACTCTAAGAAATATCCCATGTGACTTAATTAGTTTGGGCCTTGCGGGTATGATATTTGGTGGCCTGTGTAAAAATGTACGTACGGGATCCACAAACGAATGTAGAGAATAACTCGTTTGGGGATACCACCCACCCGACAGTGAGTAGTCTATTGTTCGGTTATTTGAGTGTGACCTATAAAGACTTGTAGAGCAAGTCATGATTCTCTATTCTACCTTAGACTAAGAAAAGTTTAAAAGCATTGTAATCAATATGAATTGGTTTTAGACTAAGAATAGTTTAAGAGCATTGTTATGATTTGGCCTTAGACTAAGAATAATTTAAGAGTACTGTTGACATTGTGAGTATTGAATAATTGAAATAAATATTATGTGCATGATATCAAATGATTTGATTATGAATTGAAATTCAATTTATGTGAATGTTCGGTGTATTAGATATCCTTACTCAGCTTCAACGCTGAGCGTGTAGTATGTTTTATTAGCTACACGCAAGTAAACAAAATAAAGAATGATGTGATGGATCCTGGCGGTAGATGGGGACACGAGATGTCAGATGGATGTGTGATTGTTTTGAATTGTTCAATAATTATTTCAAAAAATATAATGAATTAATGATTGTGATGTAAAACTATTTATTAAGCTCCCGTAATTTCATAAACTCTCCTATTGTTTCTAAATATTTTATAGTGATGACATAAAGTTTTAAATATTGAAATGTTTTAAATTTTTACGTTACCAAGTTAATACTTAAGTCTGAAAGGGGCTGCAGACCTAGACAGATTACGATGTTAGAATTTGGTATCGGAGCAAATGATTTTAAACCCGATCTTCAGATAAGAAAATCAAATATTGGCTATTAAAAAAATCACATTCATGACTCTTGCATCCCTCTTCTCTAGGAAAGGTAATGAAAATTTATGTGATAAATATTGGTTGTATCAAATTCTCATTAGATGACAACTGTTAGTATTGACGTCGTATGAAGTGTCGACTTAAGTTGAACTTTTGTACTCGGCAAGACAAGGAAGAATAAGAGAAAAGTGTATGACTCATTGATCCATTATCAATGTGCTCATCGCATCGCGCGAATGACTAAATTGAGAATTTATTAGCACCGTAAAGCCATTGAAAATTTATTAGCACCGTAAATTTATTAGATGACCTTGAAGAAACATTTAGCGTTGATTCTACAAATAGCATATGTTACTTTGATGTCAAGGACCCTCATGTGACTTAGCACAATTTGAACATTGATTCAAACGTGAACACTTAGAAATAATAAAATTTTGTCGTTTTTTCTCAAAATCCTTTTGATTGTGTCCTATCATTGCAATTGTTGTTTTTCCTTGAGATTTCTGTTGATCAAATTGATTATTCAAATAAAGTATCCGAATAAAGGAATTCATGTTATTTGTAGAAAGAGTCAAGAATATGCACACGGTCATGCTAATCAAGTGCCAAACAATTAACACGTGAGTATTCACACTGAAGCATTCAACTTCACTCCTCCAATTCAAAATGAACCAATCAATCAAAATGTTTCTCAAAACATGGGAATGCCCGAGTACCGATAGAAGTTCGTCCATCTTGCTCAGTTTGCACCAACGCTAATTGGTACTATGGCTGATCGGATTGAGGAGTTTCTCAAAAGGCAACGACCTGAGCTTAGGCCACACGTGTCTATCACTCGTACTATAGATTTATCCTAAGCATATGACTTAATCGCCAAGGCAGAGAAAGATCTAAGCAATTAAAGGGAGAGTTTGAAGACTGAACATGCAAGTTCAAGTGCTCAGCCACCTGATAGTGGGAAGAGATCCTTTGGTTGGACCATTAGTGCCCCCACACTAAAACAAGGGCAAATCTGTAGCAACCCAATTTGTGGCATCTGGCGATAGAACAAGGAGATGGAAGCACCCGATGTGCGACATGTGGGATAGGAATCACTTTGGAGAATGCTGGATCGCACAAGGATTATGTCTAGGTTGTGATAAACCTAGACATTTCTAAAAGGATTGTCCCACCAATCCTGGCAAACCTTTCCCAAATGCTCTAGTCATAAGCAGAAGACGCTAGCACGTCCAGCATTGAGTCAACGCTCGGTGGCGGGATCCTACCCACTGAGAAATCAAAACCAGCAACAAAGACGAGCTCCTGCACGTACCTATGCTATGAAAGGCGGCACTGAGGAAAACCCTAATGTCATCACAGGCATGTTTCCTTGTTCGATACAAGCAAGCATGTATTGAGAGACCTGCTATGGTGCCGCTGCCGTCACTGCACAAACAACGAGCGACCACCGCGGAGGGAAAATTGATGGAAGAGAAACTAGGATTTCAGAGAGGGATTTTGCTCTAGTACCATGTAAAAACTTTAAACTGAATGACTTTATTGAACACAATGAGTCAAAGATGCTATTTATAATAGCTACACACTACAGGACCATGATGTTAACTTAATTACGAGCCCATTACTTTTGTCTGTTATGTAACGCCCCCTAACTCGACGTATTACAATTAATTAATTAATTATTGAGACCAACCTCGAGTTAATTATAAATAGTTTTCAATTAATTATAAAAACTATACGGTTGTGTAGTGTTCAACAAGAAAAATCAACGGAGGGGACGAATCTGAATTCGGAGCAAGTAGGCCTAGAAGTGTATTTTTATTGAGGTACATTAATTAATTATGGAGCACGAATTCCTAGATTATATAAATGCTCCTACGTGCGCCTAAATCACTAATGGCGCTCAGTCACACAAACGCCCATCCCTTTGAAGAAGAAGAGTACACCTGCCTCGTTCGTCGACCAACATTGTATGGCTTCTCTCGTTCATCCTAGTTTAACCCTTTGTCGATTCGAGGTGAGGACGTGAACAAAGCTCACATTCGTTCATGATTGTTATTTGATTGATTATGTGTGTATTTAAGTATGAGCGTTGGCTTGTGATCATGAAGCATGAAGATAGGTATTGATGAATTTGATGAACTTGAAATCACCAACTCGTTGTTTGATGTTAAAGTTATTATTTTAGTTGATAAAAATGATCTATGAGGGATAAGGAATTATTATATGATGTACTTATGATGTTTGATGACAAAAAAATCCCAAAAGGCCACCGGAGAACACAGTCAAAGCGCAGGATCGTGAGGTTGCATATGGCCTGATTTATTCGACTAAATCGTCATCTAGTCGACTAAATTATAGGAGTTCCTATTGGTTAAGTCGAATAAATGGCAATTTATTCAAACGAATCAGCATGTTTCACCCAGAAGAGCCATGTTTCGAATTAATGAAATTGTTTACGTAACGCTTGCACATATGGTCAATCTAACTCATATTTTGTTAATTAAAAATACATAGAATTGATTTAATAATGAGCAATTGATAAAATGAGCAATATTGATGATTTTATCTTTGTGTGTTGTATGACGGTAATGAAAATTTATGTGATAAATTTATGTTTGTGTGTTGATGACCTTGAATCTATATTTATTTCCATTTGTCCTATCACGTTTTCGAGAATGAGTCCCAAGTTGTGTTTGTTTTAATTACTTAATCTTCGCACTACTTGGTTTTACTCCGGAGATGAATTCTCTAAATGAATTCTCTAAATGGATTTTGATATGAATGTTTTTAAAATATTTTCCAATATTTTAAATTGGAAAATATTTTGGATACAATTTTAGTAGTAAGTGCTTCTTTGGTGCACCATGGTGTATATCATTTTTGTGGACTTTTTCACATAAATTTTTTTTAAAATACTTATTTCAGTAGTAAAAAAATACTTATTTTGCTCAAATGTAGTTACATGGTGGACCTTAGATCCATTATAGAATTTGACATTAGTAGCATCGTTAACTCTTGTATTTAGATTATGCAGATAGGGTTGTTACAGTTACTAAAATCATCTGTTAATGAAAATGAATAAAATTTAACCTTGTAAATATAAAATAATCTCGTAATTTATAATTTTTGGAAGGAGTAAGATTATTCATGAAACTGGATCGATAAACTCAACATTAACAAACTCAACAAACCTTTGAAGAACATAAAACTCATACGAGTGGTGAGAGAGGAGTAAGTAATTTCACATCTAACTCCTCATACCAGGCCAAACTCTTCACCAGGCCATTTTCATTTAGGGCATGGGAACGGTGACATACTCCATGAACTCTGGATCATTATGGAGACCGAGCAAAGTACGGGGATGAATGCATAGCTCAATGTCCACGCTCCCCTCCTCCGATCCCTCAAAAAGAGTCACCTTCCCGTCCGATTTATTAGCTTCGCCGCTCCTCACCGCCACCGCCTTTCCCCACCCAAAATCCGTACTGTATATGTCGTGCCGCGGAGAGCTGCCGATGACAAGCGTGTTCTTCGCCTTGAACAGCTTCTTCTCCCCTAGAAACACCGGAGATTTCCACCAGCTCAGGTACTGGTTCATCACTTCCTCGCCACTCTCGTTCTGGACTGTTTCTTTGATCTTCCAAGCGGCCCAACCCAATCCTTTCGCCAACAGTTCCCCTGCTTTAGCCGTTACCATCTTCACGTAAAGCGCGTTTCCCCAGTACCCTTCTGGGAGAGGCACCCGTGCTCGGGTGCCGATGGTGATTGACATTTGAACGTCTGCATCACCATCGAGACCTCGCGCTCGGGTCACGCATACCCATACGTGCGCCATGTATGCTTGCAGGGAGGAAACGGAGCCCGCGGTCTCTCCCGCTTCCGCGTTTGCTTTTTCTTTTAGTTTGGTGATCTTTTCTTTGGCCAAGCGGAACATCCGCTCTGGGAAGGGAGACGGCGTGAGATCGCCGAGAGGTAGAGTTTTTCCTTTGAAGGTTAGAGGCAGATGGATTGGGGGATTTGTGTCGTCTGGAAACCAGCGTTCTAGAACGGGAGTTCTGGAGACTTGATGGTAACCGCGGGATATTTCCGACCATGAATGGAAGAAATTCCAAAAGGCTGTGCCGTCGGCTAGGACGTGGTTTAGAGTGCACGCGATGAAGTAACCGTCGAGAAGCTCTGTTACCTGTGTTGCATATGTTAGATGATGATGATGATGATGATGATGATGATGATGATGATGATGATGATGATGATGATGATGATGATGATGATGATGATGATGATAATAATAGGGCTAAACTCCACCATTGGTCCTTCAACTTTATCAATTGTCCATGACTGGTCCTTCAAATTTTAAAAATCCATAAATAGTTCTTCAACTATATGAGTTATGCACGATTGGTCCTTCAAATTTTAAAAGTGAAGTAGTTCTATTTATGGACTTTTGAAACTTGAAAGACGAATCGTGCACAACTCATAAAGTTGAAGGGCCAATGGTGAATTTTAGCCTAATAATAATAATAATAATAACAATAATAGTAATAATAATAGTAGTAATAACAATAATATATTTATTTCAAATAATAAATTGAATAAAACTATATTTGTGTAAATATCTAATATCATTTTTATTTAATTTGAGATCGAAGTTTACCAACTTTACTGAAAAAGTCAAAGTGGACAAATAAAGGGGGTACGTATTAGATATGATCAGTCCTTAACTTTTGAAATATTTTGTTTTATTTATCTATTTATGAAATATTTTTGTTTGCTTATTTTAATTTTGTTTCATATAAAATTTATTTTTTTTCATTATAATTTTAAAGTTTCTTGAAAAAAAATTGGGCGCTCAACCCCAAATCCCTGCATTACTAATTTACTACTTCCCGGGGCATTTCAATTCCTGGATCCTCCGTTCGAGGCCTGGGCGTTCGGTATATATGTATTTTTCGTCATCACTAGACATTATTAAGTGTTATAGAGAATAAAACAGTTTAAGTGTTGTTTAGTGCAAATATTTGTTTCTTTTTTATTTGTAAATATAGGAATTAAGAAGAAGAACAAACTCAAATAAAGAACCTGCCTGCACTCCCATGAGGGGATTGGTGATCCCCTCCCAGTTTCGGATGAAATTGAGGGGAAAGAAAGATCGGATTGTCTTCCAGGCGTCGTCGTCGTTGGAGGGATCAAGAATGGCTGCGACGGTGGCGGAGGTGGCCTTGGCTTCGACGAACTCCACGCCGGCGTTATTGCAATCCACGTAGAGGGCAGAGGTCTGATTCTCCTCATTTGTCTCCGTCGCAAACCGGCCGGCCGCCGGAGGGTAGAGAGCCAGGGCGGATGAGAGAGAGGTTTTCAAGTGGTGGATGAGTCCGCCGCCGGCGGAGTTGATGAGGAGTTGCTTTTCTTGTTGAGGTGTGGGCTTGTGAAAGAGGAGGCCTTTCTGGATGGTGCCGATCAGGAGGAGCTGAAGATCCCACGGTGTTAAGTCTACTCTTGAGAGGCTGCTGCCGCCGCTTCCGTCGGATCTCTCGGCCGTGGTAGCGGCTGCTCCGACTAAGCACTTGGATATCACTTCCACTTCCGTCATTTTTATGAGCTGCTTTCCCAACTTGGCTGGTGAGGGTATATGACTTTTTAATTGACGGACTGTAAAGGTATATAATGCATACCTATCAAAATGTGTGTTATGGTGAGTTTTTAAAAATGTGATGAAAAGTGAATATGTGTTAAATTTTAATTAATTGAAATATAAAATAGGAGGAAGTAGGCCGACACCCGTGAAGGCTGCCACTGGAAGAGGTCCAACCCCCGATCACGGAATTGGTGTTATGGAAGAGGGGCGTGTAGCACATAGCCTTACTATTTCGTTCTCTTGATGACTATTGTTTGTTTACATATTTTTGTTGACCAGTTTATAAAATAAAATATTCTTTTCGCATCTTATATTTTAGAATTTTTGATGTACTTTTGAACGATGTAATTTTTTTTATCTTTTATTTATCTACCAATTTGTAAATAAAATAATTTTAATAGAGATGATATTTTACACGTTCTTTGACATGTTCGCAAAAAATTTGCGATGGAGGGAGTACAATACTTTGACCATTTGACTTTTCATTAGATGCTCCTATTTTTTTAATTGAACGCCAGATATACCCATTTTTACCATAATGCTCTGTAAAATAATATCCCTCACATACTAAAATCTTTTCCTGTTTTAATTTTTTTAGTCAAACAGTAAATTCTTTTACTACAAATTAAACATATTCTAAATAAATAAATGATATAAAAATTTGATATATCAAAACTACTCCCTCCGTCCTCAGATAAACCCAATTATAGTGAATTTATATTATACTCCCTCCATCCTAATACGTTCTTCTCGTTCTGTTTGCGACTTTATTTTTCAATTCATTTTATTTTGTTGTAGGTGTAAAATTAAAAAAATAAAATTTATATATTTAAAAATTACATCAAAAGTTCTAAAAAATAACAGGTGACAAGACTATATTATATTATTAAATAACTAAAGAAAATAGGTAAAAAAAATGATTAAAGTTTGATCCTGTGAATAGTAACTGGGAAAAATATTTTAGAATAGAGGAAGTAACTAAATATATATTTCTCACAATTTATGGTCAAAGTGTATCACTGTTTGACAAAAAAAGTCAAAATAGGAATTATGAGATTTTCAGAATGGAGGGAGTAGGAAGTAATTATGACATGTATATCAATACACTCCAAATATAGTCGAGGCCATATGTAATGAGATTTCTAGTACTTTGATAAAATTCAACTATTTCGCACATAGGCAAGTGTTATTTTTATCACATAGTACAAATTTTGATAATAAAATGGAAAAAAATTAATAATCTAATAAACTTGTTGCTATGTCTTTTAAGTTAGTGTAAAAATAATTTAACCCAAAAGATAGTTCTCTTTTTACTGATTTTCTTTGCTACTTTTCACTACTTGCCAAATTGTCTTTGTTACTTTTTGATGTTTCTTCTTCAATTTCTTATTTTCAAGTTTAATAGGCGATTTTTTCAATTACTTTTGCCTTTCAAATATTGACTCTAACAACATAAGAAGGAAGACACCGGCATTGGCCTACAACTCTTTAGCTTGTATAGTTTATTGCTTTTGGATAGTTTTTATTGCTTTTGGATAGTTTTTCTCCCATTCTAAATTTAAACAAGTTTTTATTTTTTATTTTTCCTAAATTAGGGACAGACTTTAGTACTTAGTAGTCCGGCCAAATATTAATAAAAAAATACTCTCTCCGTCCAACAAAATCTTTCTCATTCTTTTTCAATCGTCTCAAAAACAAGTGTCTTATTTTCATAAAAAACGTACATTTATTTATACTAATTTTTAACCTATCTTTCGCATTATATTTTTTCATTATTAATCTACTCATTACATCCTACATTTACTAATCACATCTAAGGACGTTTTAGGAAAGTCAACACCAAAATACATTCTCCTTAAATCCTTTAAAAACTCTAACCATGATTATCTTGAGACATAGTTTGTTGACTAGGCCCCGTTCTCTTCAACTTATTTCTATTATTAGAATCAGATCAAATCCATTCAGATTAGATTTTTTCAGATTAGATCATCTCAAATCCATTTAGATCAAATTAGAAAAGTATTAAAAAATAATTTTAAAACAATAATAATTTGAGTTTGAATTCAAATGATTATTTGCACTCGAATTCAAATTCAAATAATAATAATAATAATAATGATTTAAATTTTAATTTAAATCAAATTCATTTAGGCCGTTCAGGTCAATTTAGATCTATTGAGATTAGATCAGATCCATTCAAATTCATTGATCAACCTTAAAACAACTTAGTTTATATGAATGCCTCAATTGGATATCAACAATGTGTTTGAGTATGCCACCTTAGCTTGTGAATACATACCAAATGTGAAGGATAAGTTACTCCCTCCCCTACTTTTTGTCCACTTTTGACTTTTACGGTCAAAATTAGTAAACTTTGACTCTAAATTAAATAAAAATGTTATTAGATATTGATGCAAAAATATTTTTATTATATTTAATATTTAAAATACTCCCTCCGTCCCAAAAAGATTTACACGTTTCAAAAAAATTGTGTCTCATAATCCCTTACCCATTTCTATTAAAAAACCACTATTACCCATTACTTTTTCAAATCCTACATATCACATCATACCTTTTTTCTAATAATCTACACATCACATTCTACTTTTACCCATCACATCAAGGGTATTTTTGGAAAGTCAACACAAAATTATCCCTCCCTTAATTTCAACTTTAGTTAAAATGGGTAACACTTTATGAGACGCAGAGAGTATTTTTATTATATTTAATACATAAAATATTTTCAAAATAAGTTACTCCCTCCTCTACTTTTTGTCCACTTTTCTAGTATACAATATATATTTTATTTAATTATTGGTCAAATGTTAAAAATGATCAAGTGGAAAAAATTAAAACGGAACAAATACCCTGAGACGGATGTAGCATTTGTTATTTTAGAGGCGTTCCTGATTTTTTTCTCCACATCACAAATTCTTTCATTTTAACAAACTCCATTCATTTGGGTTAGTAATAAAGAAACTTATGAAGAATACAAATGGATAAGAACCAAACTAGGAGTAAAAAATATGACATATTTTTAAAGTAAGAGTTCAAACTTAAACTACTCTAAATAGGAGTAATTGGCTTATTAATTTAATCTTCTCCCTTAAGCAAAAAAAATCTTATCTCTTTCTCCTGGCTTTCGATGGTACATAGAGCATAACACCTTTCCTTGTTTTTTTCCGATTGGGCTAGCTCCTCTGGTCTTTTGCTTCCTTTTTTGGAAGAAATACCAAATTAAGAGTAAAACACATGTTATATCCTCAAAATAGAAGTTCAAACATATACCCTCTAAATAGAAGTAATTCACGTAATAAATAAAACAATAAAACTAGGAGTAAGAAAAAATATCCTAAATAAGACTAATTTGAATAATTTACATGAAACACCAAGACTCAGCAAAGCATCCTGCCACCAAAAAAAATCAGCACTCCATCGCAGTACCCTGCCAGCCCCTAGCGTCACCACGGCTCAGCTGCTGCTAAGTCTCTGCCCCAATAACTTCAAGCTTTGTCCCCGCAATGCTTCGCTTCGCCCATCGCGCTACCGCAAAAACACACGATCCACCTATTGATTTTTCATCGTCACCGCCGACATTTTTGTTCTATGCCACTGTCGCCGACACCAAAAAATCAACACCATCATAGGCATCATGCATTAAGAGTTAATATAGTACCAAAGAAAGACAAATAATGTCAAATCTAACACCATACAATATCACACATAGCAATTCATAACACCACAGATGCCCATATGTAATGTCATAGATGTCACTTCACAGTGTCACAAAAAGGCGTAATGATAAAATCCGACCCAATGCTTTGCACAACTGCAAGGCAACCATCACGAAGTTCCCATCCACTTTTATGGTGACTAGATCACAAAAATAAAAGCTAGAAGAAGCAAATTCAGATCAATTTTACCAAATCATTTCCTATGAAGCAAAAAAATTGAAACTAAAGAACCAATTTATAAGAAAATTTAGATACCAATTCAATCGAATATATTAAAAGAGATGCAAATGGAAAAGACACGTTAACAAAGGGTAAAGGCGATGGAGGAAGGGAGGTGGCGGTGATGACAATACAGAGTCGCCGGCGGCGATGGTTGGGGCTGCCAGGGCTACACGAAGGAGAAGTGAGAAGTATTCTAGAAGGAGCACAAGATTTAATGAAGACTAAGACGCCTAACGGAGCGCTTAACGGAAGTGAAGAAGAAGATTTCTGAAGACTTTTAATTTATTTGAGTCTTAGGAAATATTGTAAGGATGACAAAAATATTCTTCACTCTAAAATTAGTTTTATTAGAGTTATATAAAAATTATACTTATTTTAGAGACAGTTAAAAAATCCTTTTTAGCTGTTCAAAAATGTTTTTATTGAGCCAGTAACAAAAGGTGTGTCACATATTTTCCAAATTACTTGTTTTGATATCAGTAAAATGTTTTGGTAAGCATTAATGTTTTATTCAAACATTTTTGAAATATTTGCACTAAATAGCATTAAGACTTAAGTCATTTCTCTAAATAGCACTTAGATTGTTTTCTTCTCTAAATAGCACTCTATAATGTCCATAATGACCAGTGATGGCAAACATTCACTTGAATAATGACTAATGGATAATGACTAAAAGTGCTACATTGAGAAAAAAAACATATGTAGTGCTATTTAGGGAAAATCATTATGTTTTAGTGTTATTTAGGTAAATTCCCCAACATTTTTCTTATACATTGTTTGACACACAATATTTTTGGGACTCAATTTCTACCCAATTATACCGGAGTAAGATTTTTTGCAAAATCGTTATTTTAAGACACTTAAAACATTCTAAAAACAACTCTCTCTTGTAGTCTTAATCCTCATTAATTCCTTCCTTATATATAAGTTATTTTGAGAGAAAATTATTTGTTTTCAAGAGAGTATTCTAGTCAAGCATAGAGCTTAATCGGTTCAATTTTTATTTTCTTACCTTCTGATAGATTCGTACACTTCATGTGCGTACTACGCATCAGCTTGCAGACATTCATATGAAGGCACTCGGAAAGTCACGTTTGGAGTTTCTTCTTCCCAAGTTGGGCATTTCGTTATTACATGCTCCAACTTGAGAGGGGTGTTAAAGGAAAGAAGATATTCGTATATATTTTAGTATATATTATTTTGGTAGCTTCCTTGTATAGGGTTGATTTGGTTTCCTTTTGTGACAAGGTTTTTCAACCTGTGAGA